GGCTGCCATCTTGATTTTTTTTTTTAAACTATATCTTCTCTTCTTAATTCAATACACCACATCCATGAAGAAAAAACATTTCAAGGTTTTCCATTTTAAAGTGACAAATTCTTAAGGATATCACAGTCCGGTTGCTTCACTGCTACTTTTAACTAACTGGCATTTCCAGTCAAATACTTTGGCTGCATTCAAACAGAATTCTTAATATTTTCTACTATGAACATGGATAAACTGTTGTGATAATGAGGACAAAGCAGAGTTTGTATGGCTTTGGACATGGCTTGCTTTTCTGAGTGACAGTCAGTTTTAAAGTCTGGTTTCTGGTCCAGATTTGTTTCCATATATCTTACTTTAGAAAAGTCAGAATCCTGAAATTTATACATAGCAACAAATGGAAGCAAATATTTACAGTCTTCCTTTCTTCCTGTATGGTGGAGAAGACAGGTGAAAACACACAAGCCTAAAATTATTGCTAGGTTTTACTCTCTAAGCTTGCTACACTGTGTGTTTGTTTGTGGTGTGTGTGTGCCCTATTTCCCACAAAATACAACCTACCCTGAAAATAAGTCCTAGCTTGATTTTTACACGTTAGCCTAATATAGGTCCTACCCTCAAAATAAGCCCTCCTTAAGATCCCACACATTCAAGTGCATGGGTAAAAATTAAACTACAATGGGGACAGGGATGGAGGAGCAACTACTTACCTTTGGACAGTTGTAGCCAAGCCTTGCGCACACCCCACACCTGCCTTGCCGGCCCATTCTGCAGCCAGCAAGGCTGGCAAGGCTTTCCTGAAGGCCTCTGGAGCTGAGAACAAAGCTCTGGATAAATCCAGAGCTCTGTTATCGGCTGCAAGGAAGTCTTGCCAGTTGCAGAAGAAATTCCTGAAGGCCTCTGACAGCGAAAAGGAGGCCGTGGGCGACACGCGCCAGTGAGGTTAGTCAGTGGATGCCACCCCCCAGAAAATGAGGCCCGGTGCCTTTTTTGGTGGCAAAAGAAATATACGACAGGGTCTCATTTTCAGGGAAACACGGTAATATTTGCTAACTTCCATCTAAACGTGGTTGGGTAGGGCTTTATTTACAAAGCTAGTGGTGACATCGGGCTGAATTCGGCTGATCTCAGAAAGCTACACGTGGACAACAATCAAATCTCCTGGGTTTTGGCTGGACTGAGAAGCTAAAATATATGCTGGGAGGTGGGGTGGCCAACCATTTCAATGTTGTGGCCCAAAGGTATTCCAATATGGAATACTGTATCCATTAAATCAGGAATCAAGTGTACTTGGGTCTATTTATCCAAAGCTGCAGTTCAGAATGCTCTGCACCCAGATTGCAAAAGTGGGCTACAAAGGGATAGTAATTGCATATTGGGGGGATCTTTCCCTCTGCAGAATGCTGAGGGTGGTTATGTCCTGCACAGAGATAAGATATCCCATTCTCCACCTGCTTTACTTTGGAAGCCCTGACCTCCTAGTCTGTGGACCAGAGAAATGTGGCTTCCCTAAAGTCTTATCCTCCCAATATCCAACTCGCCAAGGAGCAAATCCAATGGTAAAACGGTCTTAATAGTCAGCTCCTTGCTTTGGTCCTGGGATCACTGTGAGTTCCAGACAAAGAGCAGCAATTGTATCACCCTCCCAGCCAAAAGAGCTGGAAGGATGATTACTCTGACTTGGTAGAACTATTGGAATCATTGTACGAAACTCTATAACCTAAAATCGGAGCTGTTTGCAATGCACCTAAAAAATGGCACGCCCTATACATTATTTTAAAATAAATTATAAGTGTTGGTGATAATCTAGCAAACATAAACAGAAAGTGGGGTTTGCCAGAGGAGGTCAAAAAAGTTAAGGTTGGAGGTGTGGCTGCCTGATTCAAGCCCTTCCCCTTTTCAGATGTGCCATCTGTCAGGACTTTTTTTGGCATTTTCCAGCAAAAAATAATCATTGGATAAAATCAGAACCAGCTGAAAGGGACCTTGGAGGTCTTCTAGTCCAGCCCCCTGCTCAAACAGGAGACCCTATACCATTTTGGACAAGTGACTGTCCAGTGGGTCTAATGGGTTGGCACTTATAACCACGTGGTTTTCTACACAACCATGACTTATTTAAATGACATTTGTAAAAATAATTGTAAAATCAAGTCCAGTCAGGTGGCACTTCAACTTATGACCTCAATAACTACCAATTCTGGTCCCAATTGTGGTCATAAGTCAAGGACTACCTCTAAAGCAAAAAGTCTTTGATAGAGTATCCTCTGACTAAATGTGTATTAAGGATTCTTTCCTGTTCAGTGAATATCTGGGTCACTACCAGGAACTCAACACCTTACCAGCTCATTATCTGTAGGTAAAGCTTCCCCTCGCACACGCATGCTAGTTGTTTCTGGCTCTAGGGGGCGGTGCTCATCTCTGTTACAAAGCCGAAGAGCCAGCACGTCCGAAGACGTCTCCGTGGTCATGTGGCCGGCATGACTAAACGCCAAAGGCGCAGGGAAGACTGTTTCCTTCCCACCAAAGTGGTCCCTATTTTTCTACTTGCATTTTTTACATGCTTTCAAACTGCTAGGTTGGTAGAAGCTGGGACCAGTAACGGGAGCTCACTCCGTTACGCAGCACTAGGGATTCGAACCACTGAGCTGCCGACCTTTCTGATCAACAAGCTCAGTGTCTTAGCCACTTGAGCCACCACATCCCTACATTATCTTTATACTATGCCAATTTCTAATTCTGAGTTGCAGTCCTAATAATTAAGATGTGTCCCAACCAAACACACACCTTAAAGTTGCCAAGGTTGAACACTCCTGGTCTAGAACTATACTCAGCCATGTTACTACAGTCTGGTTTACTGATCAGAGTGGCCTGGGTCTTAGCTCACACTATAGTTGACAGAGTTCGCTCACCTTTCATCCACACAAGCGGAAAGAGATTCTCCATATTCTTTTTCAAAAGGAGATTTTGAATTGAGTTCCATTCCTGGCGAGGACAAGAAAGTGGTTCATTGTTGCCTTCTGTGAGACACTTTATCAAATCGCCTATCTAGTCTAGAATCCAGGAATTTCATAATGGCCTCTCATCTAGGTCTTCACTATGACGACCCTGCTTGGCTTTTCCAAGATCAAGATGATCAGGCTTGGCTAGGTGGCATGAGGTGATTTTATTAATTCTACAAAATGAAAGTACATTTTGTTGGATCTCGAAGGCTGCACTGCCATTCATTGTTGTGTTTTCTTCCTCATAGTAACCTAGCTTCCTGTATTTAACTAACTCAGTATTAAACTAAGTGTTAGGAACTGCTTATCTCTAATTAATGTTCTTATATGTCAGATAAAATCAGTATTATCTGATGACATTCTATCAGATAACATTTTTTAAAAAAAAAAATCAATAGTTTTATCCTGTGAATTTAAATAACCGCTTCTTCTAAACAGTTCATCAAGCGCTCAAATGAAACAGGTAGATTGCTTAGCTCTTTTTAAGTTGTTACTGAATACACGGAAGGAGCAGGTGCAACAACTAAATCTAAAATGGACATTCACTGATAACAACAGCTTGGATAGTCTAAGACTCAGTTAATTCAGGGGAAACACACTGCTTGAGCATAATACCAAACAATGATTTAGCTATACAGGCATGGAATTGTCTCTTCCTCTAGCCCTAATTTTTTGAGTTGGCATCACAGGGAAAATGGGGAATTTTTTACTTCCATTTTCAGGAAGTTTAAGCCAAAGTAAGCAGTTGGTTCTAAAAGTAAGGCTTAGGGAAACAAGGATGATAGAATATGGCTTGAAGTTGGTTTGTTTCTTTAAATCCTACTGGAAACTAGCCACAGCTCATGTAGATTTGGAAACACAAAGAAAGTTCTCCTTGTCTGAATGAGGCCTATGGAAAATTTAGTTTTTTGGAGGGTTTGAAATACTGCAGCTGATCCTATAACACTTTAGACCAGGGGTCTCCAACCTTGGCCGCTTTAAGACTTGTGGGCTTCAACTTCCAGAATTCTGGGAGTTGAAGTCCACAAGTCTTAAAGCGGCCAAGGTTGGAGACCCCTGCTTTAGACAGAAACATTCACCAAATTTGCTCAGATCTCATATAGCAGCCACAACTGGGACCGGCAACTCGGTCCTTAAGCCAAGTAGTCACTAAGTGAAACTACATCAATGGTTATGATCTTATTTCAGCTTCCCTTTGCTTTACAGACCTGCAAAGTTCGTTAATGCAAGGATTGGTCATTCAAGTTACTTTTTCATCACCGTCATAACTGAACTGTTGTTAAATGGGGACTATCTGCAGCTCTTGTGACACTCCAATTACAGATTAGATATCACATTCGTGCTGAGTATTTGCCATCAGCAACTCTTCTAGAGAGATTAATTGCTTGTTTTTTTCCTGGAGATATTTTCCTGACAGCTCGTATTTGTCCTCTTTGGGTATCTGGGCCTTTTCTGCTTTGCTGCTTTAAAATTCCATAGGAAGTAGCTTTTCATTATTATTTTTTTAGTGCCTTTTGCTCTGTTAGGTCTCTACAGTCCATCTAGATAGTGAGATTCCTTTAAAAGAGCATTTTAAAGATTAAAAGTGTATTTCACCAAATTCCTGATCAAAAAGAGCTCAAACCCACGCACAAATTGTACTGCCGTTTCATTGAGAAGATACTACAGGTGGTCCTCGACTTACAACGGTTCATTTAGTGACCGTTCATAGTTACAATGGCACTGGAAAAAAAGGGGCTTACAACCGTTTTTCACACTAAATTACAACTGTTGTAGCATCCCCAGAGTCACAGGATCCAATTCATATGTTGCAGTGACTTAACAAAATTGCAGTGGTTTAACAACTGAGGCAATTAAGGTCGTAGAATGGAGCAAAATTCACTTAACAAATGTTTCACTTAGCAGCAGAAATGTTGGGCTCCATTGTGGTGGAGGACTACCTGTATTTTCAGGAGATGGGGGAAGAGGGGGAGTGAAGAAATGTCTCCTTCCTTCGCTTGTAAAAAATTTTATTTATAAAAACACTTCAAAAAAACCAAAACCCCTCCCTCTCACGTTTCCTAAAAGCAACATGAACTGAGGATGGGCATTTGTACAAAAAATAAAAATAAAAAAAGCTTGTTTTTCAACAAAGCGTTAAGTGCTAATCCTTTCATCGTGGCATCTTTGCATTCAAACTGTACCAGTGCAGACAGAATGGGTGATTTTAAAAAAGGCTGGCAAACGTTCCTTCGATCGGGGTTTCGGGAAGCCTAACAGTTCAGCTGTTGCTTATTTGTTTTCTTCGCAATAATGCACCAGTTGCCGTGGTCGTAGCTCGAACTTACTATGCGAACCTCAGGAACGTTTTCTTCCAACAGAGAGCACAGCTCCCCTTCGCGAAAGACATGGTAATAGCGCATAAAGGCTTGGGGATCCTGCCCGTTAACCGCACAGTCTCCTACCGCCACTGCTGATTCTACCACAGACTCGCTAGAGCTGACGGAGGAAATCCTTTTGAAGGGTTTTCCCGCAAAGGAGTGACTGTTGCTTTGATGGCGACAGCTGTTCTTGATGTTTTCCTTAGAACTCCTTAGAAACGAGGTTTCCCCATTGCGGTGTTGGATTAAGGTAGCTGGCTCCCCGTCAAAACCCCTCAGGGACCCTGAAGCCGCCAGCCACTGGATTTGTTTACAGGCCACACACTTTGTAAACACATCGTCATAGGGATCTAGCTGGCGTTCTTCCAGCAGTGCTGACTGACACCCTAAGTCTATGCTGCAGTGCCTGAGGGGCTGGACCGAAATGGCGTTGCTTGTCCACCCCACCGCATCCTTCAAGGGATCCATCTTCTCAATGGGCTTTCTTAAGGCGGACTCGTCGAGGGACCTGGAGGAAAACCAAGAATGGAAAGATCGCCCCAGGGCCCCGTAAAATCGTTTTTCTTCGTTTTGAGAAATTTTCACGCAGCAGGATCCGGGGAGGCAGTTACCTAATCTCAGAGGGGGTTTCTGATCAAGGGGACCACGCTGACTGTATTTGGATCCCGTCGGTGGTTTTGAGGGCGTCTTCTGAGATTCCACGGGGGGCACAGTATCTGTGTTAGGCCCGGGTTTATTGGATCCTGAAAGCAACTGGGAACACAAGGCTTTGTTCCAAGGAACAAATACATCCTGTTTCTCAAAATGCCGGGTTTTTTGCTCCATAGCCCAGACGTAAATCATCATTTGGCCACCGGGTACCAGCACCCTGACCATTTCTTGGATTGCCTGGATTCGTCTTTGTTTCGTGGAGAAATGATGAATCACTGAAAAAGAAAAGGAAATGCATTCCTTCATTAGGGATATGCAGATCTTGGATTAAATGTCTTTATAATCGGGTAATCAAGGCATGGTTCACTAGGTAGCATTTTCTGTATTTTCAAAATTAATTCTTCATCCTACTGTGTTGCATGATAAAAAAGGAAGATTTTAGAGGGCCAAAATACTAACCAACTCATAAAATTTGTTTAATTCTTCTATTTTTATTTTATGGGAGATCTATAGAAATGCTACTATGGACCAGACTGGGAATTTTCAAAAAAGGAGAAAGAAAATAAAACTGTAAGAAGATAATAGCAGATGGCATAGCTTCCATTTGTTATCGGTAGCAGCGGTAGCAACAGCAATACTACTATTAATATTAATACAAACAATAATAATAACAGACCTTTGGCATAGATAAAATCACCATCAGTCCATGGCAAAAGACAGCTTTACTTGGAAAAGCTTACATCCTGCAATGGCACCGTTAACACCATCAAATAAGAACATCTGCCTATCTCAAGTTCTTGGGAGGAAGCCGGATAGGTGGATAAAAATATCAAATCCAGTCTAAACATCTGGCTAACTTTGTGACCAACCATAATAATAATATTCTTGGTATGTCTATGTGGTTATCAGAATGAGCTTGAATCAAAAGAGACTTTATCTTTTTTTTTATTTTTTTTTAAAAATTTTTTTAAAAAAGATTAACATTTTTTTGAAAAATGTTAGCTATTAATATGTGATATTATATATAAACAAAAGAGCTATATATGCATACTTCTGTTGTACTAAAAACTATATACTCCAAAGAGGAAACGAACTGTATAGAAAAACCTGAAAAAAGATTTATGTGAAATTAATGGAAAATGAAAATAAATAAACTTTAAAAAGAAAACTAAACTAAAAACATGCAAAATACATCTAAATTATATCTAAGGTTTAAAAAATCAGGCTATGGAAATAATTTAATTCTCTTCAATTTTATCATCACCACTCGATTTTTGAACAAAGCATTGAATGTAAATATCGTAAATATCGTAAATCGTCTCATTTATTCTTGTCTCTTTTTCTTTGCAAAGCTAATCCAAAAGCTGAAAGGAAGACTTCATGTCACCTGTTTTCTGAGATTTTAGCAAGTAGCAGTAGCAACAGCATTTAGACTTATATACCGCTTCACAGTGCTTTACAGCCCTCTCTAAGCAGCTTACATCCGCATATTGCCCCCAACAATCTGGATCCTCAGAGGGATGGAAAGCGGAGTCAACCTTGAGCCAATCAGAATTGAACTGCTGGCAGTGGGTAGAGTTAGCCTGCAATGCTGCATTCTAACCACTGCGACACTGTGGCTCAGATGGCCACGTCTAAATCACTATAATCACTTTTCATCTTTGCAGATATCAGTTTTTATGGGGGGAGAAATGCATATTGTAGCTTAGATTCCAATGTGTTTCCTTAAGAACCATATTTCCCTTTTGTCAGGGATGCACTAACCCGTTTTCCCACTCCCCACATTTTCTCATTTTCCCAAACATACATGTTGTTGCAGCTTTACAATTACAACTGTTTCTAATTCAGTTCTGACTGCTATGTACCCAGGCAGTTTATCTCTTTAACTTACTGATGTATCACGTTCTCTAATCAACAAAGCATTACATCATCCCCTCACTGCTTCCAAGCCTAAGCAAATTATTCAGTGCCCCCTCCCCATTTCTAAGCATAAGATGAATCATTTATGGATGTTTATTTTGCAAGATTCTGAGTTTGCTTATTTATTTTATTTTATTTGATTTATTTGATTTGTCAAATCACTTACAAGATAACAGGTATAAGAATAAACATAGTTTTAATACATGAGATGGATACTTATAAGAAAAATAAAAAGAAACAATAGGACAGGGACGGTAGGCACGTTGGTGCGCTTATGCATGGCCCCTACAGACCTCTTAGGAAAGGGGTGAGGTCAATAGTACAGTCTAAGGTTAAAGTTTTTGGGGTTTGGGGAAGAAACCACAGAGTCAGGTAGAGTATTCCAGATGTTGACCACTCTGTTGCTGAAGTTGTATTTCCTGCAATCAAGTTTGGTGCGGTTAAAAAGATTTGGTATAAAATGGAAAGAAACATTCCTGCTTAAAATTTCCAAATGTCAGTTCTTTTCAGTCTACTGGGATGGGGAATTTTTTCCAACTGGAAATTCTGGGATTGAGGTGTAGGGTCTTTCCCTGAATGCTCTCTCAATGGGAAAAAAACTGATTCATAAATTAGCTACTCAGAGAAAATGACATCCTCAGAATATTCTTTGGTTTTGTTTTCCTTCTGTAGCCATGAAGCCTTCTTGTTTTTTTCAAGAATGCTTATATAAAATTCCTGAACAAAAAGCCTGACTTCCTATTATCTAATCTTCTTATAACAAGTAATAAAATAATCAGGAAATATTAATGTAGTGTCATGTGGTGCATATCGAAAGTGTTTCCTCCTATCTCAGCTGTTTGGGCAATTAAAATCTCATACCTCCCACGGAGATGATGGCGTTGAAGCACAGATCCCGAAAAGGGAGGTGTAGGTTATCACAGATCATTACTTCACAGCCTTTATTTCTTGCAATCTCGATTAAGGGGCCACAGTAATCGCATCCAAGATTATATACCAGGTGGTTGACGTCAAGATATTTTCCAGTCCCACAACCTTAAGCCGAACAAGAAAGAATTTTTATGTGAGATTGTTTGTCATCATTTGTGAAAATTCTTTTTATATACAAGAAGAAACCAAGAAATCAGAAAGATGACCATGGCCAACCCAACACAGTCCTACTTAGCTCCCCTGAACTTCTTTAAACCTAATACATGGGCAGTTGTCCCAGGATATCTGCACTTTCATTTGAACTTCAGGAATAATGGTGGTAGGTTTTCTAACTTGGAGGGATGCTGAGAAAGAACTTAAGATATCCCTCCATGCTGGAAATAGACTGGAGTCTTGCCAATGAAGAGGAGACCTGACAGAGATTCAACAATATAGGGTTGTTTTGGATTGGTTTCCATTATGAGATCTCCCTGTGTGCTCTGGGTGAAGAATGTAGGGTTCAAAAATGGACCCTCAACACAAAGGAAGAGGGATGTTATGTGACTTCCACTTCTGCTCCTCAAGGGGAGGACATCCCTGTGCTTTTAGACAGTGTAGATCCTGTGTGGTCTAAAGTACTCAGATAATAAGTTCATTTTCTGAGAGAGTTTGAACCATACGGAATAACATTCTGGCTATCTACATCTGAGGAGACCAAATAAGAAAAACTGGTCAACTAATAACTACTGGTCAAATGTAATTCAGAACAAGGAATTAGTTGGTTTTCTGATCGTTTTCCTCCCCACATCCCAAGCTGCCATTCTGCCTACGGGCTCCTCACACAGTTGTGATTCTCTTGTCATTTCTTTTCTCATTCAGAGAGACGGACAGCTTTATTTAAAAAGAAAGAAAGAAAAAACCCAGAACTTACCAATATCTGCAATCAGGCTGCCAGGCTTCTGTTCAAGTAAAAACTGCCGGACGCGAGGCCACGCTTTGCCTTGCAAGTCATTGAAATAAGAGGCGGTACTTTCATAGACCTGGTGGACATGCCGTTTTTCTAGCTGGGACGCCTCGTGTTCCATTCTACAAGAAACCACAGACTGAGTGAGGCACTGAAACAGCAACAAAATCTACGGATTATGATTAATTTCTAGAAACACGGGAATAATCAGGGTCAATCCATTATGTCAGGATGAACAACTTGAGGCGCCCAGGAATTGTGGTTTATGGTCCTCCCCAGAATGCAACTGATCCTTCTCTCTTTTTTTTTTCTCAAAGAGAATCTTAATTGGGCCAATTGCAATTTTCATCCCACCTACATCAACTACCTCTTGCAAATGAGCTGCTCTAACTTGTCCCATTCCAGTCCTGATTTGTCAGTATACCAGAGTATGGAGAGGGCTTTGGAAAAAAAAAAAACTGGAACGAAGGAGAAACTTCCTAACAGTGAGCTATGGGGGCTTGACCACTGGAGGTTTTTAAGAAGAGACTGGACAGCCACTTGTCTGAGATGGTATAGGTCTCCTGCTTGATCCGGGGGTTGGACTAGAAGACCTCTAAGGTCCCTCCCAGTTCTATTCTGACTGTAAACTGATTATATTATTATAGTTATATTGATACTATATCCTGTCTAGCCAGTCTAAATAAAACAGAGGGTGTCTTTTATAGCTTAGTTACCTTCAACAGCTGATAGTGGGGGTTCACTGCAAATAAGACTCCTCTAAGCTTTCCTGTAAACCTCTGGAATGGTTCATAAAGAGCCATCCAAGTATCCTTTCCTCTGGAAATGTTTTCTTCTACTCCCTGGAACAAACTGCTCACATTGAATTCAAACCACTTTAGGGAATTGCCAGACAATGCCAAAAGGGCATTATATTTTCTTGGCTGGAAATTGAAACCAAAGTCTTCAGTCAAAGCCCAAAGTCAACACAAACTTTTTCTAAGGAATCTTCAATGGTTGATGTGGATGCCTGAATACATTTCTGGATAAACAGGTAGCGTGTGAAGCGCAATTCAATAGGTGTTGAAATAGAAAGCAGCCCTAGCTAGGCTATTTAGGAACCCCACATGCTTAAATAATAGTTTGCATTGCTAAAGGTTATGCAGAACCGGTCCACACATAGCACCAGGATCATCAGCCATTTTATTTGCAGCTTAAGGCAGTGTATGTGGACCTGGTTACCGTACCTTAAACTAAATTATGAATTCAACCACTAAAGCTCAATTAACACACCATTATTTTTAAATAAAAAACAAAACAAATCCAGGAGGTATCAATCAACATTTTAGACAAGGAAGAGAAGCTTGGAACTCCATCCTGAAAATAAAGTGGTTTAGTACCGAAGGACCAAACCAAAGAGAAAAGTTTACGTGACTCCTATGGCAGATTAACTTTCGATCAGCTTGGTCAAAGAGCACAGAAAAGGACGTTCCAAGTAGAATAACCAACATACTTTGAATATTTCTAAATTAACCAAGCCCGATTGATTGGGCCAGCTCCCATCTAGAAAATCTCTCTCTATGCCTCTCAGAGGGCATGGCAAGGATATTGGCTTTTGTCACAGAAAGGTTGGGCTCTGCTATGATGGGGCTCTTGTCATCTGGCATCAACCATGACATCAGCTGCAAAACAGTATCAGCAGTCTGCCCGAGGGCCACTGCAGCAGCAAGAAAACATAATTCGATCGATAAATTGATTTTCTGATTCCCGTCAGGGATGTGGAAAAAACAGAAGCCACCATCTGGCCATGGGAGGTGGGGGATGGAATCCAGATGAAGCATTCGGGATATGAGGATAATTGAATCTGGACTTGGTGTGCGTGGCAGCAACCTTTGCCAGGAGCCACTGCAGGAATTGGTCCAGCTGGGAAGTCAAAGAATGACTGTTGCCTTCTTTCTCTTTTTTTTCCCCACATATCCCTCAATCCCACACAACTTCTAGTTATTAGTATAAAAAAAAAAAATGAATTTCCAAAACTTCTGAGACACCTGCAATGATATTATACGTTTATACATTTATATGCATTTCATGCTCTTTTCAGAACAGTGTGCCCTGAATGTCAGGTTTAATCTTTTTCTAGCAATAAAATAAATATGTGCACACAGATTTGTAATTTCCCTGCTCACATACATACAACACACAGCAACTTTTCTCCATAGGGTATTTTTTTAAAAAAAAAACAGTGCAGGAAATCCTTTTTGGGGTTGGGCCTATAGAATTTTCAGCTTTCAAAATTTGTCACCTTTCCTATCAAGTTAAATCTACGCTGGGGAACTGCGAGCTTAATTCACCCGTTACACTACAATATTATTGGTTAGCAAAAGAAGAAGCAAAAGTTTGTTCCCAGGAGTAATTCAGTAGACCCTGCTTATTTCCTGCTCTTAGTCCACGTTTGTTCAAACATGGAGATGAATAGTTGTCAAGGGTAGAAGTCCCTGCCTAGCTGAGAGTCCTTTGGGATGAATCATAGGAAACTGGGTTTTAAACTAAATTTCAAGGGTCTTGTGTCAAAATGTTCCCAATACATTTTCACAAAAGTAAGAGTCCGAGATGAAGATCCGGGGATATGTACAACATAGCTTATCTTTTCCCAACCATAAGTCTGGCCTTCAGATTTAGATGGCTGAGTCTTTTCTCTTGAGGTATAGCAACTCTCCATACCTTCGAACCAGGGTCAATTTTTTTTCCTATAACGTCAAACCAATCTCTTCTTCTTTTCCCCTTTCCATGACAAAATCCCAAGAATGTGCATCAACCACTTCATTGCAGAACTATTTGTGCTAAACACCTGGGACAAAGTTTTCCTGATGGAAAGTTAGTCTTAACAAGAAAAGTCCACATTTTTTTCTTTTATATGAACTCAAGATTATTTTACTAGCCAGTCTACTTTCTATAGAAGCTTCTATAGTTTCTATAGAAGTCTCTGAAAAGTACCATTACATCAAGTCATCTAATGTCAAGCTTCAAAAGAGATGCTGTCACTTTTAAAGAACAAAGTCTGGTAAAAATCACGCAAGCACGTTCAGCTGCCTGTGATTCATTGACATACGATGGCTAAAAATAAAAAACTTCTTTAGCTATAAATTATCCATACATTCTTTGTACTATTTTTAATGCGTTAATTTTCAAAATTCAGTTGACTACATTTAATTCAACATGGTTGTGTGTATGTGTATTTGATAACAGAAAATTTAAGCAGTCATTAAATACCTTCTGATAATTTGAAAAATCAAGTGAATTTCAAAAGCCAGGGAAGAAACTTCCCTTAATTCAGTTAACATTTTCAAATCAAGATTGCTGTGCAAATATTAGTAGAAGGTACTAGAAGCAAAACCAATCTTCCTTGGGTTGGGATGGTGTGTGTGTGTGTGTGAGAGAGAGAGAGAGAGAGAGAGAGAAAGAGAGACAGACAGACAGACAGACAGACAGACACTTAAGTCTGGGATTGTCATTTCTGCTTACATATTCCACTCAGTTTATACCAAGCAGGGCACATTTATACCAAGCAAGGCAGAATTTCCGTAACAGTGTGGCAGCAACAGGAAAACAAGAATTGCTGTTATTACATGTTGCAATTCTGATACATCAAAAACTATACAGATTAATACATGATGAGATGAGCGTGGTTGATTTCAGAAGTAAATTGGAATCTCCAAATTCAAGGTCTTCTTCAACTTGCCTCTAGATCAGACATGATGTCCAAACCCATGGCTCACAGCCGCATGTAGCCCTGGACAAATAATAATGTGGCCCCATAGGATAATAAAAATTATAAAAAGAAATAAATAAAGGAAGACTGTTTTTTTTTCCTATACATTAATACACACACACACACACGTTTACATGCAGTCCAAAACAATTCCTGTTCACTCAAAAGCGGCCCAGGCAAACCAAAAGATTGGACAGCCATGCTCCAGATTAATTAAATGACATGCTGGCCGGCATTGATAGGCTTGGTAGCATAAAACCACAGTGGTGAAGAACAGGCAGGGCACAACTAAGAGGAAGGTCCTTCATTAGACACTTCTGAAGGAAATAGTTGTGTGTTAGAATGTTAAGTGAAAATTGTTCAAAAACGTATTTATAGAGACTGACATGTATCAGATTAGTGATGCCTTATTCTATTCCAAGTGAGCTCATTCCAATTATTGACAAGCTGTCAGCCTTACCAGATAAACCAGATAGGAAACATGGTCGGGTAAGCTAATTCTACGTAATTGTAAAGCTACATTAACAGAGTCTTACAAGTTTGAAAGTACAGTTTTGCAGCCATCACCTTCACAGCTCAACAATGTAAGGAGCTGCTCTCCCTTAGCCTCTTGCTCTACCCACAATGCAGGTCTACGCTATGCTGTCTTTGATCTGACTATTCCGTGTCTTTTCACGCAAGTCCCCCATAGTCATTCCAACCTACAATTACACAAGCATGATTCAAATTAACAAATTAATGTCAGTTCTTTGCCCTTCATTAAATGATGTTTGCATTTTCTATAATAGGCCAAGCTCACTCTACTATAAAATAAGGCTGATTCCTTCCTTCCTTTCTTCCTTCCTTCCTTCCTTCCTTCCTTCCTTCCTTCTTATATAGAGAAGACTCCAGTCTCTCCAGAATAGTGAAGTGCTGCTGTCTTGAGGAAAAAACCCTATTCTGATCACTCTGCCAATGTTGATGTCACAGCAACGGTTTGAAGCATAAATTCAATTTTCCACACAGCATCCTCCCATCTCTAGCAAGTGTGATAGAATTCTGGGCCTTGAACAAAGTGAGTTCAGGAATAGAAATACAACTTGATCAGACCATTCCATTTTTGCTAGTCGTTCACTTTTTTAAAGCGTATATGACATGCCAAGGTTGTAGATTGAAACTGGTTCTCCACGAGCCACAAAAAAAAGTCTTTTTACCAAACATAAATTTGGAAATTGAGTAGAGGTTTTGTCAACAGACTAGAGGGGCATTTCATGAAGTTTAAAGGCAGCCCTTTCCCAACAAGTCCCTCAAATGTTTTGGAATTTTTGTAATTCTAAAACATGACCAATAGATATTTTGGTTGAAGATTACAGAGGATGAAGCCCAAATCCTTG